ACTTTGGCAAACAATTTATGTTAAGTTACACTGTGTTATTTACCTGTATTGTCGATCAATATGTTAAGTCGATAAAGCTTATTTTAACTTTCTGATAGATCAGTTTATTCATTCATCTCAAGTCATAGTTAATTATTCACTTATCAACCCTGAATGTTTTTATATGAGCGCATATATATGTGTACATTTCTTATCCTATTCATCACATGTCGATAGCTTACTTTTGTGTCACTATAAATATTGATTAACGCTTGACTAAACTGAGTTGGCTCACAAGCTTTCTCCACTGCGCATCATTTCACTTTGCTCCCTTCTCTTCACTTCTCTAATCTGCTTCTCGCTTCCTTAGGATGATGGTTGGCGATAGTCAACCGGAAAACCTGGACACGGGTTCCGTGCTATTTGGCACTCGTCAACAAGGAGTACTTGTAATCTTGAGGGAACTGGTGCTTTCTGACGGATTCAATCCTGCATCACCCAGCTTTATAGTCAGAGACGGTTCCACTGAGTTATCCCGACCAAGACTGACCTCCTGTAGGACTGAGTTGTATTTACAATCGATTGATCACTGGGTGATGGGTAATCAATGTTATGTATGTCAGATCCTTCTTAATGCAGATTGAATCCTATCAATCAAGTTGCAATGTGGTAACATCTCTAACCACGAAGCTGGGTGACACGGGATCGAATCCGTCAGTGAACATCAGTCCCCTCAATATTACAGGTACACTTTGCTGACCAGTGCCAAGTAGCACGAAACCAACGTTCAGTGTTTCGTGTTAACTGCCTCCAACCATCATCTTATCTTAACATAGTGCACATAATGTCGACTCACCTGGACTATTGGTCACAGTGCAACTTGATCGATAATATTCGTTCTGCACTAAGAATGACTTGACATATATAACATTGATCACTCATTACCCAGTGACCAATCAATTGTGAATCGCTCTTCCTTCTTTCTTTCTTCTACCTAATTGCCTGTTCAAACCAATGAGTGCATGAAATATACATATTCAAAATCCATCCTCGTATTTGGCTTATTTAATTCCGTCATACACTAAGGCGGATTAAGTCGATAATTTTATACGTGGATAGACGATATGTACATATTTCAATAACAATCAATAATACGATCTCATTAGAGTCAGATATCAGGTCATAATATACTTGTCTATATAACTGACAGTAAATCTATGAACTTTATTACTGTTTTTATTACATGATCGACAGGTTACAAAATTCTCCAAGTTCTTAAATCTATAATCAAAATATGAGATTGATAACTCACCGCTTCTTACTTTACAGATAGATAACAGATCAATAGTAACTTAACCACGTATGAACTGTATAATTCATTAGTAGGAAGCAAAATTAATATTGTATTCATTAAAAAAGATGATATTAATAGATTAAAATAAGTGAATCACATAAATGGGACATAATCTACTGGTGAACAAGTATTTGACACTACTTAAATGTTAAATAAGTAGCTTGAAGTAAAGAACAAAAATACGTTTGGCTTGATGGAAGTACATAGAGAAATATATATTTTACCTTGTCTAATCACTACTAATTTTGGAACCCTTTCCATGAGTGTTCCCCAAAAGTCATGGGTCGTTTATAATCATACAATTAACCTCTGATTTATGTAGCTGAAAGAAACTTTAAGTGATCTTTTGATCGTCTTCTCAACCCTTAGTTTGACTGATGTTCGAGTTCCAGAGAGTAATATAAATCTAGATATTAGAAGGAACCTGTGAATCGGTAGTGTTTTAAAACGACCGCTAAATGATAATTTGTGTTCATCACATATCTTAACTTGTGTGAAATGAATCTCATAAGAAATCCATATGTCATTCAGTCAGTCAACTACAACGTAGGACCAGGCAAATATATGCATCGGTCCGAAGGATCAGCGAAACCCATTGGACCCAAGCTGGACAGCATAGGTTAGATACGGGAGAGATCACACCATGACACAGAAAAAAAGCTGTAATAGAAGGAAATATGAGACAAATTTATGACACCACGAAGAAACTGGTAGGGAAATATGGTAAACCAGAGAAATCGGTCAAGTACAAAGAAGGCGAGACAATCACTGAGACTTAAGAACAGAGAAACAGGTTAGCAGAAAACTCTAAAGAACTGTTGGATAGACCAACCCCAATGAACCCGCCGCACATTAAAGTAGCATACACTGACCTTCCTAATGATGTCGTTCAGAAGAATGATGAAAGCTTCACGACCGAACCATCCAGCTCAGAGAACAAAACTCCACCAAAATCATCCACCTGAGCTACAAATCTTCTCCACCATCTCATAATGATGTCACTCCACCGACGATAGAAGAAATCAGGATGGACATCAGACAAATGAAAATTGGAAAACAGCACGATCTGACAATATACCGACTGAAACACTAAAGTGGGGCATAGAATTAACTGCAAACATGTTTCACACTCTATTCAGGAAGATTTACGAAGAAGAACAAGTGCCAACGGACTGGTGAGAAGGATACCTCATTAAGATACCAAAGAAAAGATATCTGAGCAAATGGGAGAACTGAGAAGGAATCGTTCTACTACCGATATGAGGAAACGTTTTCAACAAAACGTTGTTGAACCGAATGAAAGACTCAACAGACGCCCAACTTTGAGATCAACGGACCTTATTCCTTAAGAATCAGTCATGTACTGACTAAATCGCTACACAACGAATCATTGTTGTACAGTCAATTGAATGGGACTCGTCATTATAAATCAGACTCCTAAATTATGACAAAATATTTGACAGCGTGAAACCTTCTTCGACATTATGAAGTGAGTACCTGAGAACACATGACTGGCTTGACTAGAACATAAGTATGTTGACGTACCAACAATTACGTATCGGATATTGGAAGTAGGATTCTTTCTGATAGAAGAAGAAAGTAAGGAGAAGAGATAGAAAAACAAGAGTAGTCGTAATAGCAACAGGAATAGGAGAACAATAGAGTTCATAAGGGACAACTTGAGGAGATTGTGTAAATGGTATATTGATGCATTTTTTTCATATTTTACAAATGTAGTATGTAATTTTACATAATAATATTTACTTTGCCTTTATGTGATACTCATCAACAGTACGAATTGAAGACTACACCATTTGAATAAAATCATGGAACTTAAGTTTTCACTATAATGCTAACCCTCTAAGTTGATATACATCAGTTACATAACTGACAAATCGATGTTATAGTCAATCGTTATCAATGACGATTGTTGTCTTACTATCTTTAATTCTAAAGTAATATACAAAAATATTTCAATGAATCTAATTAATGTCTAACAAGTTCACGCTAAATAACATCGACCATGTTTTGTTTGAAATGATCAGGACTTCTTACGGGGGACTTTTCCGGTTTTAATCGAATATTCTCTCGATTTACTTCACATTTCAACAAAATTAGTGTTATATCTTAAACTACTAGAAAATTGTTAGTAGTAAGATTGTTTAATGATACATTTCAAAGGTAACTGATGTCAACCGGGGATTCATTCCAAATTAAGAAGAACTGGAGAGCTGTTTCCTCTTACTTCTGGAGGTTTTTACATAAGCACAGGCAAACACTTAAAATTTATGCTGCTGGACCGGTATCCAACAGTATTAATGTCTAACTTCAACTAATCTACGATATTAGTGACCGTCCACCATTGTCGTCAGTGAGTGAATGGATGCACACTGCTGAGGAGTCCCATGCAAAGGTGAGATGGCTGTCCAGTGCTTCCAGGTTTTCAATGATAGTCTGAAATTGATTTATTCATGATTTAAATTGAAACTCAACAACCTCCACAATCCTATACTGATATTAGAAAATTGTTAGTAGTGAGATTGTTTAATGATACATTTCAGTTGGAGAATCATTCAAAATTAAGAAGAATTAAAGAGCTGTTTCCTCTTAATTCTAGAGGTCTTTACATAAACACGAAGAGAAAAACCCCTACTCTGTGTAGAACTGAATGGTTCATTATTCTGGAGCTCAATGATTTTCGCTTTCAATCACTCATCAGCCAGTGCCAACTAGTGATTTAAGTTAAAGGAATAACTCTCCAAAAATTCACCTATTCGCACGAATATTTTTAGCGAGTTAGTTTTCTATAGGATGGAGTCGCTAATTCAATGCCCAACCCTCCTCCTTTACCCGGGCTTTGGACCGACAGTAGCCCTAGGGGAGGGGGCTCCAGGCGGAGTTACTTCATACTCATAGGGGGAAATCGCCACCTATATGTATCATCATCATCAATATTATCTAATCATAAGAAAGTAATAAATTAATAAAAACACATATTTCAAGTTGTTTTGAGCCTGTCTATATCTTAGTTTGATTGTATTTTGTTGACAGAAAAGTCAATATTAATGTTACAGGAGAATAGTTTCAACTTAACTAAGTGTGCTTTATATTTGTGTTGTTTGTGCATGTTATGTGTGTGTATGTGTGAGTGCTTGTGTGTGTGTATGTATGTATGTATGGGTGTATGTGTATATGAGAGAAAGGATAAAGTAGTTCAGTGGCGAACAGGCAATACATAGTAACACATCTATTACAATATTGTATACATCAATAGGTATTTGTTCTATTTATATGTTAGTTATAATGATAGATTATATATGTATATACATTAAATGTATTCAGGTCAGTTACATATGATAACCAATACAATTCATGTCAAATAAGAATATAAAAAGGCTTCTCTATGATCATAGAAACAAACAAACCACACACAAAAAAAAGTGTATAGAATTACATAACCCCATTAATCATACGTGTCAAGTGATAAGCTCAAATTATAATGTATATTTAGTTGACTGATATTCATCATATACTTCTTACCTTAGTTACTTACTTACTCTTGTTAATCCCAGTGGAGAATAGGCTGCCGACTAACATTCTTCAACTCATTCTATCCTGGACAATTCACAAGATACTCTAATTACTTCACATATATTACAATTCAACCATGGTAAGTTTCAATTAATAATCATAATATACAAATAATCTTTCTATATTATGTATAGCGTGAATGTATTAGTTTACATATTGGTCAAGCTGGTGTACAAATGGGTAATGCATGTTGGGAATTATATTGTCTTGAACATGGTATACAACCCGATGGTCATATACCAAATAATCAATCAAAAGATAAAATTGATGGTGCTTTTAATACATTCTTTACAGAAATGAGTTCTGGTAAACATGTACCACGTGCTATTTTCGTTGATTTAGAACCAAATGTTGTTGATGAAGTGAGATGTGGCATGTATAAACAATTATTTCATCCAGAACAATTAATTACGGGTAAAGAAGATGCAGCTAATAATTATGCACGTGGTCATTATACAGTTGGTAAAGAAATTATTGATTTAGTATTAGAACGTGTACGTAAATCTGCGGATCAATGTACTGGATTACAAGGATTTTTAATATTTCATTCATTTGGTGGTGGTACTGGTTCTGGTTTTACATCATTATTAATGGAACGTTTAAGTGTTGAATATGGTAAACGATCAAAATTAGAATTTGCTATATATCCTGCACCACAAATTGCTACAGCTATAGTTGAACCATATAATTCTATATTAACTACACATACAACATTAGAACATTCGGACTGTGCTTTTATGGTTGACAACGAGGCCATTTATGATATTTGCAGGTACGTAGTTTACTTTTGATATGTATGTATATAGTGGTTAGTAACAGAAGGGGTTTTGTAGAGATTGCAGTAATTTCAATAGTTGAGATTATGAGTTAATTGAAACTAGACGAATTCCGCTAGGCGGGGTCGTGGATGCGCACCTCCAAGGGGGACTCACACAATAGGATGAAACGGCCGTCCAATGCATCCAGGTTTTCCATGTTGATCTAGCTTCAATTGAATCATGATCTCAACTACATAAATTACTATAATCTCCATAAAGCCCATTCTGATACTAATTAACATATGCTGGCTTCATGAGGTATATCCTGGAGTTCTAGTAAAAAGCAGTGACCAGTGGAGTTCAACCGGGTCAGTTGTGAGATAGTAACCCACTGATGACAATAGTAAACGATGGCGTAACTGCATGCACCAGTTGAAGTTAGACATTAACACCGTTGCATCCCGGTCAACTCAGTAGTCTAGTGGTTAAGAGCTCCCGCTAGACGGGGTCGCGGATGCGCATTGCCACGGACGAGTTGGCCAGGTTTTCCATGTTCGTCTAGGTTTAATTAACTCATGATCTCAACTATTGAAATATATAATGATTGATTGTTTTTGTTTTTGTTTTTCTTCTACAGAAAGAACTTAGGTATTGGACATCCTACCTATACTAATTTGAATAGATTAATTGCTCAAATAGTTAGTTCAATTACTGCTTCATTACGTTTTGATGGTGCATTAAATGTTGATTTAACAGAATTTCAAACAAATTTAGTACCATATCCACGTATTCACTTTCCATTAGCTACTTATGCTCCTATTATTTCAGCAGAGAAAGCATATCATGAACAATTAAGTGTATCAGAAATAACAAATTCATGTTTTGAACCTGGTAATCAAATGGTTAAATGTGATCCTAGAACTGGTAAATATATGGCATGTTGTTTATTATATCGTGGTGATGTTGTACCTAAAGATGTGAATGCTGCTATAGCAAATATTAAAACAAAAAAATCAATACAATTTGTTGATTGGTGTCCAACTGGTTTTAAAGTTGGTATTAATTATCAACCACCAACAACTGTACCTAATGGTGATTTAGCTAAAGTTCAACGTGCTGTATGTATGTTAAGTAATACAACTGCTATAGCTGATGCATGGGCACGTTTAGATAGAAAATTTGATTTAATGTATGCAAAACGTGCATTTGTACATTGGTATGTTGGTGAAGGTATGGAAGAAGGTGAATTCACTGAAGCACGTGAAGATACTGATGCATTAGAAAAAGATTATGCTGAAGTTGGTTGTGATACTATTCTATTAGATGATGATCATGATAATGATAATGAACAACAAGAATTTTAAATTATTCATCTAAATTTTAATTCATTAGTAATTTTATGGTTTATGAATCTTCATTTAGTCATAGTGATAAAGTACTTTATTATTATTGATTATTGATTAGTATTACTATAGCTACTATTATATACCATGAATACTTTATAAAATCAATAACACGTGACTATGATGTATCTATCTTAGTAACAAACATAAAAATAGTACTTTAGAATAATTTTTTTGTTTTTTTTGTTTGTTTTTTGGAAGTATATTCTATTGTAATGTGCAGTGAAATTTTTTGAATGAACTTTCAAGTGTTACAATGTTGTTATTGTTGTTGTTGTTGTTGTTTTCTAATGATTCTAACATTAGATCCAATTTTTTTGACAAGTTTTCTATAAAAATCAAATCAATATTATATATACATACATATATATTGCGACTTAATTCTATTGTGGTGTGAGTGTGTATGAGAGAGTGTGTGTGTGTGCTACTTGTGGGGCCCTTAATTTTGTCATCATTTCGATCGAACGATGTTATCGAAAGGGCTATCGACTTTAGTGACCCGAGATCTGGTTCCAAGGTGATCGTAAAAATGATTGTTATTAAATTGTATATGTCACCTATCCTCGTATATAATCGTCGACTTTAATCACGTTAGTCAGTAACGGATTTAGATAAGTCAAATAACGAGAATGGACTTTTGAATACATATATTTTGTATATAAAGCGAGTGGAATAGAGAGAAGAGAAACAACGCGCATTGGAGATGGCTGGTAAGCCAACTCCCATTTAACTAAGGGTTAATCAATATTTATGGTTACAGAAAAGTAAGTTACAGATATGTGATGAGTAATGGGATAAGAAGGGTACACACACCTATGCGCTCATATAAAAACAGTCAAGACTGATAAGCGAATAATTAACAAGGTCAGAATGTGACTCAAATAGAATGAATAGAACGGGCTGTTCGAAAGCTAGAATAAGGTATATGGGGTTAACCTTAATAACCGACACTACATACTTATGTCGATATGAGTAGTATATAATGATAGTTAAAATAACAATATCTAGCAGTAGAAGGTCTAAAAGGAAAGAATGGGAATAGAAAATAAGTAGTATAAAAATGCAAGACTAATGAAATCTGAGACGATTGATTAACATTTTGGTAATGGAGTATTTGCTGTATGATTCTTAGATTATACTTAGATGTTTTGTAATTAGTGTATTCGAATATATCCGATTATTCCTATTGATGTTCCTGTTCATTACAATATGAGTATGTTATGTTTATTTTGTTATCGTTCATGACATTAACTACGCCTGATACCCTTCGTGAAGGAGCATAGACCAACCACCAGCACTTTCCATTCAATCCTGTTCTGGGCAATCCTTTCCAGTTGCTATTTATTGTTTTGATGTTTGCTTCCAATTCTTGACTGAGTGTATGCAATTTTCCATTTCCTTTTAGGATTTCTAGTTACTCCTTGCCTCATGATGTAGTTTTGATGATTTCCGCAATCCATTTCCTATCTACTACCAACAGTTTTTCCTAATATTAATAGTAAATAATAAGTTGATTGACAATTAAACTATATTTAGTCATAACAAATCCACTGAATTATGAAATGATGGAAAAGATTTGTAACTAAGTGATAAGTCTTGCCGGATTGAACGCTATATTCGTTCCCTAAGCTATTCTTGTAACCCCCAAGCTAGAACTAAACAGCGACTTGAACAACGAGAGAGAAGACTTAAAGTATGCGAGAAGTACTTTACTCCAAGCTCCATTTTAATACAGAAAATATAGGGTTTTTATAATATTTTTAGATGTCCTTGGGTTGCTAGAAGATTCTGGAATGCTACTAAACATAGTAGCAGTATAGCAATCAGTCAATCAGAACCTCTGCATGTGACGTTTCACTTCCTTGATATTTTTGGCTAAAACTTCAAGTGAACGTTGATTGAATGAAGCGCTTCTTAGTGTTTCCTGATGCTTGTTTGTCTTTTGCAAGAAATTTTCTGGATCACTCCAACACTAAGTACAGTAATTTAAGTGATGTTGTAAGTTGATAGATTAATCACTTTCCTTTTAAGATTGGGGTTATAATATTATTTAAGAATACAATGAAAGCTTCTTGATTTAATGTTCTAGTACGGTGGATGTAATTTCACGAAATTAATTTACATGTCACTCACAGAATATACTTCCTAACTGTAGCTATTACCTCGACGTGATGGCTCAGCATTCATACCGTAATGAACCAATCAAGCTACACTGGCTAGAACACTCTTTCCATTAGGCCCTATCATTCTAAACAAGCTGAATAAAGAGAGATAAGATAAAATACAGCAAACTAGAGTTTAACAGATGAAGTGGTACTACTGACTCTATAGGCGTGTGACTCAAGTAAGGTATTTCCTTAGAACTATTAGGATTTTCAGAAATGCTGCCTTTCCACAACGAAATGGGAAACTAGAAAAGATTAAACCTAACCATGATATATCACATTTCTGTAACCGGTAGTAGTACGTTAAATGTATGAGGTAACTGTGATAATTAGGAGGACTTGAATGATGGTACAAACTAGGAAACTCAGAAATAATCCAATTTAACCAAGAAGTATTAGATGAGCACGAATGAACGTATTGTATTTGGAATTCGAAACCAGATAGCCATCATGTATAGAATAAATCATCAGTTCATACAAACATCACAGCTGGTACATTCAGAACTACTCGCAAACAGGCTGTGTGTGACTGACTCTAAACAATTATCTCTTGATTCAACAATATTAACCGAATTTCCCTTGCTGATCCTTTGGGAAGAAAGTCCTTTCATGATATAGACAACCGGGAATTGCCAGTCGTCCTTGCAGTACTCGATAGTGTATTTGATGTATTAAATTGAATGATTAAAGTATAGAAAATCTTTTCCAATAATGACTTAGTAGAAATGTATACTTATTTATTTGCTTCACAACTGAATGTTTCTTCTCTTGCTTCTGTTTTCAATTTATCATCTTTATTGTTTAATACTAGTTGTGGAAACGTCAAGTTCAACGTCCAGTTTAATATTATCCATGCAAATCGAAATAACTTGTTCTTAGTACTAAATGATATCTCTTTCATCAAATAGGATTGATCTCACTAATAAGAGGGATTATACTTGTGATGGATACTACTTATTTTGACTTATATAAGTAATATATGGAATACCTGCCAGACTGTTAGGATAGTCGGAAAAATATACCAATAATTATCGTGTTAAGTCTATGGTGGCCTTGGAACTTAAATGTACATTTCTTATTGGTCGATGTTTATTTCACTTGTTAAATATTTTGTAAATGTTGTTTCCTATTTTATGGTACGATGTGGTGTGCTTGATTGGTATATAAACAAAGTATGTTTGAAATACAATGATTCATAGCTCAGAGGCTGTGACTTGTGTTCCTGACCCAACTGGCTGGGACAGACTGCGAAGCGGGACCAATCAGGGCACTAGGTCGTCCGTACGTGTTTTCCGTGTCACTGTAATCGATCGATAAAACACTGCTTATCGAAACCCTGCAGTCCACACCCGTTACAACACAGACAAACATTAAATTAAAGAGAACAGGATGGGAAACAGAGAGTAATTGTGTTAACAACAGAATTGAAAGAATCATGAAGCATGTAAAGCACAACTGAAGGAAGTTGTGCAAATAAAGTATTGAATGTATGGTTTTCATATTTTATCAAAACGCTGTTATTTTGCCCCCCCCCCCACTGAATTAAGGCAACATCGAGGCAATACGAACAGTATGCACATATGTCAATAAGAGACTGATCAGTTGCAGTCTTAAACATCAATGGAAAGATTCATGTAAACAACAATGCCAAGTGAATTGAGTAATTGGTTTTCACTTTAGTTAGTACTTATCAGTAAGTAATTTTGAAGGAACCACTTCTTCATTATGAAATTTAAACTCACATCATCCAGTTTCAAAGTTAGAAATTTCACCACTGAATTATTTATGCACCGAGTTTTTTTTAGCGAGTTAGTTTTCTACGGGATTGGGTTGCTAACCCCATGCCCAACCCTCCTCCTTTATCCGGGCTTGAGACCGGCAGAAGCCCCCAGAGGGACTCCAGGCGGAGTTTCGTACACTGAGTGACTTCCTATAAAATGAAAACATTTACAGTGTTTGATCATTGGATAATAGCTAATGTCACTTTCTGAAGGTATTACCTAATTTCTCAAATCAAGGTACATGAAGTGTTTTTTAAAACAAATGAACCAACAAACTCTGTTCCATTTAACTTTGGAGCTTGATGGTACCTTTGTACTTTGTAGTCAAAAGAGTGTTGTAGTTATTATAATATAGTTTTCCGTTAGTATATATTCGGTCTTCAAATTACTGTCTATCATCAGATGGGCAAGACCTTATCTAAACACAAGTTTAAAGATAAAACATTTGTACACATGAATGATATGGTTTTACTAACAATTCTGTTCTTAGTAATCTACTTTTAACTAACAACTAACTAATGTGAATGTTTTAAACACAAAATTTAAGCTGTATACAACAAATCCGACTCACACGTCTGCGTCATGCCTCCTGGATAGTGGGACGAATGACTCATGAACTAATGTGAGCGATAATCCGGGTGGCAGAGATCAGGCTAATCACCCACTATTACTGATACCCATCAATCGATTACGAAATCCACAGAGAAACATAGCACAGTTATATTTGGAATGGAAAACGACATTCATGTAAACCTATACGAATTTCATAAATAGATTACATAGTAAGTAATTATGATAAAATATTCTGCAGTTACTCAGAGAATTCATGAAAGTTTACTAGTATATTCACTTTGATTACAT